ATAAACAGAATTCACTATGAGACTGGGCAATTACAAGGAAGTGAATTCAAGTTTGGTACCCCATCTGGGGAACTTCTGATTGAGGCCTTGCTGTGCTAACATAGTGGAAAGGGAAGGAAAATGGATGTGCAAAAAGGTGAAACATGAGTGCAACTCTCATTTATAAGGCAGCCTGCTCATACAGAAACTAATCTACTCCTGCAAGAACTAGCCAGCTCTGAGAAGGAATGAATCACATTTTGTCAACCTAATCGCTCTAAGGCCACCTCCAGGCGTGTTCATTGGCAATATAATTTCAAACATGAGTTTGGTGGGGACAACCACATCCAAATCATTAGCAAGACAGCTTTCTGGTGAAATAATGAGCAGACTTGTGGTTGTTTTTGAAGAAAGCAGGAAGTATACCCTGTATCACCTGTATTGTGGGGGAAACAATCAGCCCATGCATTGTATATTTAGCAATCAAGAAAGGACTATGAACTTTTTACACTTTGCCCCATAAATTATTGGTTTGACTGTAGTTCTATACCAGTGAAAGTTGTTCATCTGATACAGAGGTATTAGAAGCAATATAAGGTCCATCTTAGCATATGTATCTGCTTTAGATAGAACTTTGGGTACTTAGTTAAGACACCCCCAATGAAAGAGTTGATTCCAAAATGGATAAGAATGTCCAAATGGATAGACAATGTTGATGTTTAAAGTCATCTTACAGAAGAACTTAACATATTTCCTCCAAATTTTCAGTAGGCAATTAAAAGCTGCAGCATTTTCAGTATTACATTAGCCCTTTGTACAGTGTTATACATCTGCTAAATGAATCTAATACTGTAAGCTACAAGTTTGGGGAAATTAATATTTGTCTCTTAAAATATGTGCAAATGTTATTTTTATTACATGGCAGATAATAAGACAGCAGATGGATCAAAGCTACAAGAACTGTCTTATATAAAATTTTGGAATGATATCAGCTCGCAGTTCTCAAATTTCTGCAAGATATGATCCCAAAACAGACATGTGGACTGCAG